ATCTTGGCTGGAAGTTAATTTGCTTATCTTGCTGATTAGCTAATGGGAAGGGTAGTGGTTGTACGCTAATTACCATGTTTCTCTTTTATTAGATAGGATATAGACTAGAGGGCCATTGCACGAAATTAGAGCATGGGTAGGGTCCCTAGCGGCTGCTGGCCACCAGCCCCGGCCTTCCTTTATTCTGTGCCACCCCCTGGTGGTCAGCACACGTCATAGCCAGTGATCGAACTCCAGGTCAGTGGAACTCCTGAGGGGACACTGCATATTAGGTTTTTATATATATAGATAGCTTTCGTCCATATGCTTATCCGTTCAGGTTTTAAAATGCATGTGTTGTGTGAATTTTATATTTAATTTTTAGTTTAATTGTGGTATCTGCTAACATTATTTGCCACTCAGGGATGAAATCTAGCTTATAACAACTTAGAAAAATTACCCATAACAACATTGACGCCTTCAAGCCAATTTATTTTACAGGATGCTCGAAGCCAGCGGTTCTCAACCTGTGTGTCGCGACCCCTTTGGCGGTCAAACAACCCTTTCACAGGGGTCGCCTAAGACCATCCTGCATATCAGATATTTACATTACGATTCATAACAGTAGCAACATTACAGTTATGAAGTAGCAACGAAAATAATTTTATGGTTCGGTCACAACATGAGGAACTGTATTTAAAGGGCCAGAAGGTTGAGAACCACTACTCTAAGCTCTTATCTAATTGGCTGTTGCCTTTTATGTCATAATCACATCACCCAACAAACAGTAAGCAGTATGTAGAGTTACAGCAGTGAAACTAGGATTTTTCCCCCCCAATGTAAAGTTTTTCTCTCTCTGCCTCTAATAAAACATCTGCAACTCATACAACATCTTTAAGAATTTCTCACAAAATCATGCTGGAAGACGGTGGAACCTGTTTTCACCCGGAAGATTTTTTTCATTTTGTTATTTTAAATTGATTGCCAACAGATGTGGGAGCCATCTCTTTTCATTGGATTGGTCCTTGGCTTATTAGGCAGAGAGAGATGAATCTACTCCAGATTGGCACTCAGAGAAACAGCACTGTATCGACCTGGCTGGCGAAATTTACTCTTCTTTGGCTGCTTAGTCGGAACTGCTGCAGAGCCAGCGCTGTTTGGACCGCTTACATGAACATATCATTTCATGTTGGGAATCGCATGCTGTCAGAGTTGGGGGAAACTGGAGTATTTGGAAGAAGCTCCACTCTGAAGAGAGTGTCCGGAGTTATTGTGCCACCGGATGGAAAATCGCAATATGCCTGCAATCCCAGTACCAGCTTCAGCAGATCGAAGAACTCAAAGGTGTGGCTCGCACTTGTTGAACGGGGAGGTTGTCCCTTCACACAGAAAATTAAGGTGGCCGTTGAGAAGGGAGCCAGCGGAGTGATCGTCTACAACTTCCCAGGGACCGGCAACCAGATTTTCCCCATGTCTCATCAGGCCTTTGAGGACATTGTGGTCTTGATGATTGGTAACTTAAAAGGCATGGAGATTCTGCACTTGATTAGGAAGGGAGTTCATGTTACAGTCATGGTGGAGATGGGGAGGAAACACATCATCTGGATGAACCACTATTTTGTCTCTTTTTTGATTGTCAGCACCGCTACGTTTACGTACTTCATCTTTTATCATATTCGAAGACTTTGGGTAGCCAGGGTTCAGAGCAGGAGATGGCTGCGCTTGGCAACAGATCTCAAGCTAGCGTTTGGCCAGCTTCAGCTCCGGGTGCTGAAAGAAGGGGATGAGGAAGTAAGTCCCAACGGAGACAGCTGTGTAGTTTGCTTCGAGCTCTACAAGCCTAATGACACAATTCGTATTCTGACTTGCAAACATTTTTTCCACAAGAATTGCATCGACCCCTGGATTCTGTCACATGGAACATGCCCCATGTGCAAGTGTGACATTCTTAATGCTTTGGGAATCCGAGTGGATGTTGAAGACGGAACACAGTCACTGCAAGTTCTGATGTCAAATGAATGGCCTGGTATTTTAACAGCTAGTGAAGAGGGGACTACTAGTGAACTTGCTCCTGCAAGGCAGCCAGCTAAAGCGACCCACGTGGGAGAGGCGGCGGAGCGTCCTCCTTCCCCGAATGACAGCCAGCCTAACTCGGCAGAAGACGTTCTTGATAGCATGACCTTTGAGGAAGCGGATTAAACCTGTTTGTCAAACCAGGTTCTAATACTGACAAGCAGCTTGCTTGAAGTGTGGTTTTGTGTCCTTTTTTGTTACTTTGGTAATTTTCTACATTCTTTGTCAAGCCCTAAAGACAGAAAAAGAAAAGGAAAAAAAGGCCTAGCAGGATTTAAAAAAAAAAAAATCTTTGCTAAATGTAACTTTTTGTCAATGTATGTTACTCCTGTGAGTATAGATGTTTATTTGTATGTACACATGCATGTTAAAAGCAAGGACAAACTTTTCTCCCTAGGTGTTTTTTGTATTATATATATTGACTTTATTTTAGTAGGAAAATTGTTAATATATTTGCATGTTCCTTATAATCCCAAAGCTATAAATTAAGCTTGAAAAACTAGTTATCTTTGCTGTGCTAGGAAGAGTAAAATGTATCTTTTGATAGTTATAGTACAGTATAATTTGACCTCCATTGTGCTATATGTTTTTATTCTTGTCATAAAAATTTGCTTTATAGGATTTTACTCTTGGCAAATAATTCTGTTCAAGCAATTAGTACATTCAATGTGATCTGCAGTCTTAAAAATAAAATAGTAGCACTCTTAAAGTGACCAGCAAATATTTCATTGCCCAATATTTCTTATCATAATTGTTACATGTTTACAGTGTGTAGAAAGGCTTAAATGATAAAGAATTCCTAAGATATTTAGTCACGGTGTATTTACTTCCTATATGTTTTGTATTACCCTATTTATTTATTTATTTATTTATTTATTGCTATTAAATATTTAAAATATTCCAGATTATTTTGGAGATAAGTGTCACACTGTAGAATTTTAATATGACATCTTGGGATTCTGCTCATTTTGTTCACTGCGTTTTCAGGAATATGGGGCAGAGCTGGACATTTGAATATGTGTGAGTGAATGAATAACGACAGATACCTTTTTCATAATGTAACTGTTATGATGTGTTAATCTGGAAAAACTGGGCAGTTTATCCCAATTGTAAATAGTGGGACCCTCATCATGAAAATGCTCATCCTAAATCACTTTGACAAAATAGAAAACTACAATTATTAGCCCAGAATTCATTATTATAACTTAGCATGCATACTTTTAATGAGGAGCTCGGACCTCTCCAGGGCTGACGGTGAGTTTTGAATTTTTGTGCAGCCCTAGAGAGATCTGTTAAGAGGAATTTTGTGAGTTGCTCAGGGCTGACAATACTGGAATTCAGAGAGAGGCAGGAGGAGTACATGTTTCTAAGAGCAGTGCCAAGGAAGACTCTTTCAGAGAGGGAGGGGCACAGCACTAAGTGGGCAAATGACCAGGCCTGTGGTTATGCCTTGCTTGGTATGCACAGGCTTTTGTATAGCCAGCCCTTGGGAGGTTTGGACTCAGTTACTCACAGGAGCTGCTCTTTGAAAGGACTGCATAGCACCAGCACGGGAGGATTTAGCGGGAACACTGTTCTGAGTGTCTTGTTTAGTTTACTCTGGGAGAGGACAGTCATTTCCTGAGAGACCAAGGATCACACTGGAGAAACAGGACACGGAGAACCCTGTGAGAGCCATTTCTGCTAGAATCAGCTCCTGAGCAAGATAAGCTGTCATCCTCAGACTGACTACTGTTGGTGTCTCTGGGGTTAGCATCTCCTGGGGGTGGCCGGTTGCCCAGACGAATCATTAAAACTGTAGATGTAAATGAATGGGGTAGTTCTGGCAGTCCCCAAACCCGGGATCCTTTCAGCTCTGTGCACTCTCAGCACATTCACATGGGGTACATATTTCGTGATAGACCTAGCACTTGAAGAATTCGTCACTTACTCTTCACACTAGCATTGCCTTTGTGTTCTCTTTCCACCATTTCCCTGCAACCCCCACCCCCTTTGGTTTCTCCTTTCCTTTTCTTTGCTTTGTTCCTCACTGTCAGCTTTAAATCTGACTTACCCTCATCTGTAAGAAATTAGCACGGGCACACGTTTATAATTAGGCGTCTTTTGTTAACGCAGCGTGCTTGTTTTGATTTGAGAATGTTCAAGGGATGTTCTTCAAAGGGTGGTTAGAATCTATCTGTTAGGTCGGGAGGGAAAGGTCAAGTTAGTGGACTTGGGACTGTCATTGCTGAGTGCCTGCTGGGAGCAGGCAGTAGGCTAAGAGTTTTCCATAGCTGTTTCTCATATCAAAACAAAACAGCCGTTTTATGCCTCAGAATGTTGAAAACAGATCAATAAACCACTTTTACTGTAGATTTAATAACTAGGACCTGGAAATAGCACTGGTATGTCAAATGTTAGGTACTATTCATTATAGTTAGTTTTTAACCTAGTGTAGTCTGTGGGCTACACTTTCTCTTGTACTTAGTGATGCAAATAGGTTTTGCCATAATGATATGGGACTATAATGTGAATTATTTTACTCCTAATGCCATTGTCATAATGGATTTCTTTTGCATTTCTCCTCTGTATATATTTTCGCATGCTCTGGTACTAAAATTGATTCCCCGTGCCCACCTTGGCTAGGTAGGGGGCTGATGTTCCTTATAAAAATTAAACATTATTTTTCATTACTGGGACACATTAGGTTTAATATCTACTAAAGTGAAAATGATTCTAAAGCCCTTACCACTGATTAGGTGATTTCAGGTAAGTTTATCTATGCCAGTGATGACGAACCTATGACACGCGTGTCAGAGGTGACACACGAACTCATTTTTTTGGTTGATTTTTCTTTGTTAAGTGGCATTTAAATATATAAAATAAATATCAAAATATAAGTCTTTGTTTTACTATGGTTGCAGATATCAAAAAATTTCTATATGTGACACGGCACCAGAGTTAAGTTAGGGTTTTTCAAAATGCTGACACGCCGAGCTCAAAAGGTTCGTCATCACAGATCTATGCAGTTCCTTGCAGTATTACAACACACTGATAGTATACCTGTCTCTTGCTATAGAATCATCATCATGCATTTGCCCTGCAGAGGGATGTTGGTCAGCCACAGTTTCTATGAAAAAAAAAAAAAAAAAAAAAAAAAAAAAGACCGTACCCTTTTATGTAATGATGTTTACTTTGAATTTATATTAGTTCACACAAACACTCCATCCATGCTTTTGTTCCGGCCCTCTGGTCCAGTTTAGGAACCCATTGTGGCCCTCGAGCCAAAAAGTTTGCCCACCCCTGGGTTAGGGCCACAGTATTTTCAATAATGTGAATACTTCAGAGGATTTAGTGAGCTAAAGATCTGGCATGTCTGATAGTACTTAAGCTTAGTGTACAGTTCAAGTGTTTTCTTCGTCTGCAAACTCCCTGGTGCGTGAAGCAGCGCACAGGAGTCAAGGTGGGGAGAGGGTCAGAGTGCACAGAAGTGCCGAGGTAAAAAGAGGGAGGCTTCACACGTTGATGATACTGTGAACGTCATTGAGGTGGCCAGGCCATGTTCTTGCTCTGCTATTGTTTTAGAATTTATTTGGTTTTGCACTTACTGCCTATTTTAATCATTTAATGCTAACTGGTGAAAATAGGAGTATTGATTATTACAACTACTGACACAGAACTGTCTTAAAAATGCATACCTGGTTTTCTAAACCACAGGAATTTTGGGGCGGGGGGAGTAGGGGGGAAATGTACTCCACAAAACCTCCCATTTTCACATCTACACTACGGTTGACAATATCTGTCTCCACAATTATGCTGTCATCTTGTCATGCCTCCGAGATTCTGTGTTCCTTTATGATTTCAGCTGCTCACATGCGTTTTCCTCTTCACTGATGATGACCAAGGTAACCCTGATTTCAAATCTTGTCTACGTTTGTTAACATTCATCTCCAGTCAGTAACATTCCATTGTGGACACATGTCAGGTTTTGTCTTTTTTGAAAACTTCCCAACACATAGCATCTTTCCCAGAATTCCTTACCTGCATGTACTTCTCATTCTCACCACTTGCTCTTTGTTCTCATTCCAAGCAGTTTCCCTGCTGGTCCTTTCCCGGCCCATCTCGTTTTGTTCAGCTTCAGCCTAGGGTTAAATTGTAAGCCATTTTATCCTTACTGTACCAAGGAATTCCTCACCTCCTAGGAATTTTTTGACAGTAATATTTACCTACTGTAAAAATCAGTGATGTCTACTGATTTCCACCCGATTTTTACTTTTATTTAAAAATCCTTTATTAATTTCTTAATTCTTTTTTTTTCTCACAGAGCAGTACTTCTCAGCTTAGGATGCACAACAGAATCACCTGGAGAACTTTTAAAAAGACTTGTGGCTCTGGCCGGATAGTTGAGTTGGTTGGATGTTGTCCTGTACACCACATAGGTGCGATTCCTGGTCAGGACACATTCCCAGATTGTGGGTTTGATCCCTAATCAGGTCATATATGGGAGGCAACTGATGGATGTTTGTGCCTCTCTTTCTCTCTCTCTCTCTCTCTCTCTCTCTCTCTCTCTCTCTCTCTCTCTCTCCCTCCCTCCTTCTCTCCCCTTTCCTCTCTCTAAAAATCAATAAAAGCATATCCTTCCGTGAGGATAAAAAAAATAAAACCTTAAAAAACAAAGACTGTGTCTGGGCTGCACTCAAGTCCCATGAGCTGCCTAGGCATCAGTATTATTTTAGTTACCCAGGTGATTGCAATGCGCACATTGAATTGAGGACCACTGCCTTAGGGCTGTTCCAAAGCACTTTTATAGTAATCGGGTTCCCAGTTTCACCCACTGCTTCATTCAGAGCAACCTGTTTTCACTTTACTGAAAATATTTAGGTAGAAATAGACATGTCACATATAAATGTTTACATTTAATGAGAAGGAACTGATAAAGGCTTCTGGGAGTATGAAGGAATGGATTTCAGCTGGAGAAGCAAAGATACTTCAATGGAACTCTGCTGGATTGGGAGCAAGGGCCTCATAATGGAGGGTCCAGTGTGAACAACAGTGTTTTGTAAAGAAGTTTTGAATGTCATGTAGAATTTGGTTAAGGAACTTGAAAATGAAGACAGGGAATTCAGAGGCTGTTGCAGTGGTCTGTG